ATACGGTGTTCTGGGTGACACGTGGCACCCGTGCGTTGTTTCACATTGCATGGTCCCATGCTGGCATCCAGGATGAAACACTTGGTTTTTCTCACACGGGGTTCGGGGTGACACGTGTCACCCCATGTGTTGTTTTACATTGTACGGCCCCATGTTGGCATCCAGAATGCGAGTTCAACACTTGGTGTTTCTCACACTGTTTTCAGGATGGCACGTGTCACTTTTGTCTTGGTTCACACTGTATGGTCCCATGATGGCATCTACAATGCGAGTTGAACACTTGTGGTTTCTTTCACGTTATCGGGGTGACACGTGTCACCCGTGTGTTGTTTCACACTGTATGGCACCATGTTGGTACCCAGAACGCGAGTGAAACAATTGTTTTTTCTCATACGGTTTTCGGGATGGCACGTGTCACCCGTGTGCTGCTTCACATCGCACGATCCCATGTTGTCATCCAGAACATGAATGAAACACTTGGTTGTTCTCGTACGGTTTCCGGGGTGACACGTGTCACCCTGCTCTTGTTTCACAGGGCATGGTCCCATGGTGTCAAAATGAAGTCGAGTGAAACAATTAGGTTTGCTCACGCGGTTTTCGGGGTGACACATGTCACCCTTCTATTGTTTCGCAGTGCATGGAACCCGTTTCTTTATTGCTTAGGGCATGACGGGCGTCATGGCCCCGCTTGGGCCCCCCCCCTATGACGGAAACTTCCCCCCCCCCAGTTCGCTCCGGGCACTGCCGCGTGTGCGCATGGGAGTCCGCGTAGGTGTTCCGAGTGGGAATCCGCATGGTGTCTGGTCCGCAGGCGGTCGTCGTCGTCGTCGTCGTCGTCGTCAGCGTCGTCGTCGTCGTCGTCGTCGTCGTCGTCGTCGTCGTCGTCGTCCGTCGTCGTCGCTCGTGGTTCGTCGCTCATCGCTCATCGTCGTCGTGCGCGCGGACACGGCTGGGGCCTGTTTTTAAGTCCGGACCGATGACGGCAATCATCTGGGGGGGGAGGGGGTCGATGACGTCACGTTTCGCGCCGGCGGCGTCTGGGAATGCTTAGGAATGACGCAGGACGGGTAGCACGAACATGTACGTGGCGATATGCACCACAACGCTTGTGTACATCACAGTGCCCGCGTGCAACACAGAGTCAGTTTGTGCCACCGTGCCTGCGGGCACGGCAGCTCTTGTGTACACCACAGCGCCTCCGTACACCACATCAGCCGTGCGCAACACAGCACCAATGTACACCACAATGCATGCGTGCATTGCAGTGCCTGTGTACGCCACGGCGCCTGTGTGCACCACATCAGCCGCGTGCAACACAGCACCATTGTTGTGTATAGAATTTCAGAAGGAATTCTTGTGACAAAATGGAGCGCGTTTGGATTCCAGAGAAAACAATGGACAACAAATCCTCATGGACAAGGAAGCGCCGCTGGAACCTACGAGTCCCCCCGAGTCCGCCCGCATCACCCTAACTCCCGTTTGCGTCCAGGGGGCTCCAGCTAAACTGGCCGCCCGACAACCAAGTGGACCGATTCAATCGACCATTCTGCAGTGCACGTTGAGATGCGCACGTGCGCTGTAACGCCAAGCCGCACGACAGGGGGTAAGAAGGAGGAAAAGGAGAAGGAGGAGGAGGAGGTGGAGGAGGAGGAGGTGGAGGAGGAGGGATGAGGGAAAAACGTCGCATTCGATTATCAGAACTTTCCTGGCGTTGTCCGCGGCAGATCCTGACGTACATGCTCCTTCTACCTGTCCTATGCACGCAGGCACTGTGGTGTACACCACCGCTGCGTTGCACGCGGATGCTGTGGTGTAGACAGGCGCTGTGGCGTGCACAGGCGCTGCGGTGCACGCAAGCACTGTGGTGTACACAGGCGTTGTGTTGCACATGGCTGTTGCGGTGTATGTACACCGGCGCTGTAGTGCTCCCAAGTATTGTGGTATACACGGGCGGTGCGTTGCACACGGCTGTTGCGGTGTACGCAGGCGCTGTGGTGCACACGCGCGGTGTGGTGCACGCGAGCGTTGTGGTGTACACAGGCGCAATGGGCAGATCGCCACCTACATGCTGCTCGCGTCGTCGTCGTCGCTCGTCGCTCGTCGCTCGTCGCGTCGTGCGCGCGGGCGCGGCTGTGGTGCCGGAGCCACGCGGCGGGGGGGGGGGGCGTCACGTCATACCCCCCCCCGCCCTCCCCCCACCCCCCCCCATGACGCCCGTCATCGCCGAACATAAAGAAACGCGCTGTTTTCGCCCGAGAATTTCGAAAGGGGGGGCGGGCAAACCCAAGCACGCACTCCGCCTCTGCCGCACCGCAGGCAGTAATCCGCAGGCCGCGCACCACAGGCCGCTCTTGCCCAGGGTCACCCCTGCGTCGGCATCACCCGCAAATACTCAGGAGGGGAAGAAACACACAGACACAATAGATCGGCGATTCCCAGAAACTATGGGAAAATATGGGAAGTGGGGGGAAGACAAAAACCAAAACAATATGGGAAAATATAGGGAATATGCTTATTTGTGTGTATTTATTTGTGTGTCCTGGGGCCCCTTCATGTACTTCTACTACGTGTGCGTCGGCCTTTCAGGCGCGACGTGCACGCCGTGACGTCCTAAAGTATATGTTTGGTGGCGGGCGCTGTCTGGCCATGCCGCCTGGGCAACACTATACTATAACGTGTTTGTACTACGTGTTCGGCTCGGGTGAGCGCCTCCAGGGGCTGCGCACTTCTGCGCCCCACTGCTCGCAACCGGAAGCCTTCTTTCGGGAGGGAAGGAAACACACAGACACAATTCACCGTCGACCCCCAGGAAAAGTTGGGAAGTGGGGGGGAAGACAAAAACCCAGAAGATATGGGAAAAGATAAGGGATCCTTTCATTGGTGTGTATTTCTTTGTGTGTCCCAGGGCCCCTTCATTCTCATCCTGCCTCCGCGGCTGCCCTCCCCCGCCCTCCTCGGCTCGCCTCCTGCGCGGGCCTTGGCTCGCGTGCGCGCGCGCCCCGCGCCTCCGCTGCACCGACCTGGACCGTGTCCGCGTCGGCTACGGTTAAGTCGGGCCCATCCCTCTGCAGGAGGGGTATTCAAAAATAGTCAAAACATAGTCTGGGGACTATTTTGGGGGTATTTTGGGCATCTTTTGCGTATTTTGGGGTATTTCTTATTCTTCGTCCAAAATCCCCCTGTAGGGGGACAGGCCCGACCTAAGGCTACGGTGAGGGCATTGGACCAGGAACCATTGGGTAAGGAATCCAGGGTCTGGAATTCCAGGCCTCCCATGTGGGGTCCACTTAGATAGGGTCGGAGGATCGCGCCGCATCGCCGATGCATCGGAGATGCGGCTCGATGCGGAGCCCGATTTTCTCCACGCCGACGTCGCCGATGTATCGCCGACGTCGCCGATGCATCGCCGATGCATCGCCGATGCATCGCCGATGCAACTTCGATTCATCGGCGATGCGGCACGATCGTCCGATACCATCTACTCGGACCCTCTTTGCGAGGCCTAGAAGTGGATAAGTAACCAGCGGATAAGGAATCCGTGCACTGGAAGCCGGTGGAACTCCAATCATTGATTGGCCATGTATGTCGCCGCCGCCGTCATTACAGTCGGGGCGCTGAAGAAGGAACCCTTTGCATTGGGGAGGGGCTCGGTGTTCCTTAACTGTTTCACAGCTAGCCTACTGTTTTCCTTTGGTTTTCGATGGGGAGTCGATGTTTCACTTATGGAAAAAGGGGCCTCGTTCCTTTTGTTAGGGTTCCTCAGCTCAACGCCTCGACTGTAGATAAGGCATTCTCCAGAGTCTGAAGCCTCCTGGGCACACTCCTTCACGAACACCACCACCGCAGCCAGAAGTGGCGGCGCGCCGAGGGGGGAGAGCGAGAGGAGGCAAGCCCTCTCGGTAGGCGGCGGGGCTCGTCGGAAGCCCTCTGGCCTTCTGAGGGGCCCTCGGCGTCTTCGGAGAAGGCTCATAAAGCTCTTCGGAAGGCTGGGGACCTCCCGAGCCTCCTGAGAAGGCCCATCCCCCTCCCGAGCCTCCTGAGAAGGCCTTCTGGGCGCGCCGCCGAAACAAGGTGGCAGTGGTCGGACGGGGCTACAGTCGGGGCTCTGAAGAAGGAGCCCTTTTCGTTGGGGAGGGGCTCGGTGTGCCTTAACTGTTTCACAGCTTGCCTAATTTGTTCCTTTGGTTTTCGATGGTAAGCCGAAGTTTAACTTATGGATAAAAGTGGCCTCGTTCCTTTTTTAGGGTTCCTTAGCTCAACGTCCCGACTGTAGGACGAGGATACATCCGTTCACAGCGTTCCGGAACGCTCTCAAAGCGTTCCGCAACGCTCTGAGAAAGCCGCGGCGCCCGAGGCATCCTCTAGATCCGCCGGATCTCAGAGATTCTCGATGCATCCTTACCCGATATTATCCTCGCCCTGGCTTCGTCCTAAGTGGGACTTGGCACCAGACCGCATCCGCTTCTCCGACTCGCGCGTGCCGAGCGGCATGCCCCTCGCTGGCTCCAGCGGCTCCAGGGAGGCGCTGCAGTAGCCTGCTGCAGCCTGCAGCGCCTCCGGGACCCGGGCAATGAGAGAACACCCACCCACCCAGGCAAATGGATGGAGGAACTCTAGGCCAGTTCACGCGACATGGATTCGCATTGTGCCGGTCTTTCTTCTCGTCCCTCCTCCCCCCCCTCCCCCGAATTACTCCTTGGCGGGCAGGTGAGCGGGAGGGCGGGCGAGGCTTGTTCTCTGCATCTCTACGAGGCACGAGGGGGCTGAGCGACGCCCGCTAATTCTGGCGGGTGCGTGGCACTGGGCCGCTTCAAGGTGTAGTCGCCCCGGCCCCCGCAGGATTAGAACACGAGATACTGTCAGCATCAGCAGCACAGCAATGCACACCACAGCAAACAGCGACGCGAGTCAAGGTTCGGCGACGTCGGCAGCTTTCCGCACACGATGGCGAACGCAGCCCTGGCAAGTGCCCTCTCCGTGGCCCGAAGCACAGTCGCACACTTCAAGTTCAAAGCTACGCAATCGTGCGTGCCCGGCTGCCTCCGTGTGTCCTCCCTTGCTCGGCGTTGCTTGCTCGCGCTTGCCTCCACGCCGTGTTGGCTCGAGCCGCTTTGTTCGGGGGGCCCGCCACCAATCCCCAACGTGCAGCGCAACCGGCACCTGATACCTCGAGCGGGCGTTCCGCTGCTCAGTCGTGCATTGCTCCCTGGGCAGGCCTTCTTGGACATCCTTGTGGCCGCCTCGACCCTCTGCCCTCTCGCGCTGCACTGGCACCGTCTGGCTCGGGCGTGTGTGACAGGTGCACCTGCAACAGGCGTCCTGGTGGTCTCTCTGCCCCTCATGTCATCGGATGATCTCGCCTTGGGCGTCGTTGCCGCGCTTTGGGCGCAGATGCGGTTCATCCGGTTGACCGTGCTCGTCGTGAGTTGTGAGCAGCCCCTCTCGGTGTGGCTGCAGCCATCGGACCGTACGGCAGGCGCGCTCCGCGTGGGTGCGCTGGTAGCGACGCTCATGTGCATCGCTTTTCCGGGCCCGCTCACTTTCTTTGCGTCGCTTTCGACGACGCTTTCGCTGGGATGGGCGTGCCTACCGTACGAGGTCGACAACAGTGGCACCTACGGCCTCCTGGCAGACCTCAACCTCTGGTGCGGCTTTGCCTGGGCGGCGACCAGCGGGCACGACGCGGCGCTCGGCTGGCAGCAGAGCGCTCCAGCGCTCCGTACGATTTTCGGTACCACCTATGCCTTCGCGGCGCTTGCGAAGCTGAATTCGGATTACGTGAACGTGCGCAAGAGCAGCTGCACCGTCTTCACACTGCTTGTCGGTGAGGGCTTCGTGCCCGCCGCGCTTTCGCGCCGCCTCATCGCGCTGCTCGGCGACGGGGCCGTGCTGTCGCTTCTGCACCTTGCCCTCGTGCTGCTGGAGGCCGTCGAGGTCCTCATCCCCCTGCTGCTCCCGCTCGCGCCGCTGCGCTGGTCTCTCGGCACCGCGTGGGCCTTCCACCTGCTGCTGGGCTCCATCGCGTATGACTACTCGGTCATCGCCGTCGCAAGCCTCGTGGCGTGCGCGCCGCCGGCGCAGGTGGTGCACCTCGCGTGGAGGGTCACCAGCCCGCCCGCCCGGCTGGCCGCCACGGCGCTGGCACTGCTCGGCTGCCGGCGGCTCGAGGCGCAGCGCTGCCGCGAGCTGGGCTCGCCGGAGCACCTGGCCTCGCTGCTCTGGCTGTGTGCTCTCCGCCCCGCACTCTGGGTGGGCCGGCGGTCCAACGGCGGGGCCCCGAGGGGCGAGGGGGGGGTCCCGGAGGAGGAGGGTTACCAGCCTGGAACATATCCCTATCCCTATGCTGGGCACCTCCTCATCACGATGCCAATCTTAGGGATTCCCTTATTTTTTGAGGGCGAATTCCTAAGATTGTCATCGCCTTTTGGCGTGTCAATCTTAGGGATAGGGATACGTTCGAGGCTGGTAAGAAGGGCCTCACAAGCGGTGCCGACGGCAGGTGGAGTCCCTGCCCCCGTGGCGTGCGAAGGTTCGGTTCTGCCAGCACGGGCCCCCCAGCAGTCCCGGCCCCCTCCCCGGGGCGGCTTTCTCATCCCCGGGGGCCCGGCGAGGGCGGGCCCCAGGAGGCCGAAGACGACAAGAGCCCGTTTTTTCATTGCTTGGGGCATGACGGGCGTCATGGCCCCCGCTCCCCCCCCCCCCCTATGACGTAACGCTCCCCCCCCCCAGTGCGTTCCAGGCACTGCCGCCGTGCGCATTGGGATCCGCGTAGGTGTCCGCGTAGGAATCCGCATAGGTGTCTGGTCCGCAGGCGTCGTCGTCGTCGTCGTCGTCGTCGTCGTCGTCGTCGTCGTCGTCGTCGTCCGTCGTCGTCGCTCGTGGTTCGTCGCTCGTCGCTCATCGTCGTCGTGCGCGCGGACGCGGCTGGAGCCTGTTTTTAAGTCCGGGCCGATGACGGCAATCATCTGGGGGGGGAGGGGGTCGATGACGTCACGTTTCGCGCCGGCGGCGTCTGGGAATGCTTAGGAATGACGGAGGACGGGTAGCACGAACATGTAGGTGGCGATATGCACCACAACGCCTGTGTACATCACAGTGCCCGCGTGCACCACAGCGCCTGTGTACACCACACCGCCGATGTACACCACAGCGGCCGCGTGCAACGCACTGTCAGTTTGTGCCACCGTGCCTGCGGGCACAGCAGCTCCTGTGTACACCACAGCGCCCCCGTACACCACATCAGCCGTGCGCAACACAGCACCAGTGTACACCACAATGCCTGCGTGCATTGCAGTGCCCGTGTACGCCACGGCGCGTGTGTGCACCACATCAGCCGTGTGCAACACAGCACCATTGTTGTGTATAGAATTTCAGAAGGAATCCTTGTGACAAAATGGAGCGCGTGTGGATTCCAGAGAAAACAATGGAAAACAAATCCTCATGGACGAAGGAGCTCCGCTGGAATCTACGAGTCCCCCCGAGTCCGCCCGCATCACCCTAACTCCCACTTGCGTCCAGGAGGCTCCAGTTAAACTGGCCGTCCGAGAACCAAGTGGACCGATTCAATCGACCATTCTGCGGTGCACGCTGAGATACGCACGTGCGTTGTAACGCCAAGCCGCACGACAAGGGGTAAGACGGAGGAAAAGGAGGAAGAGGAGGAGGAGGAGGAGGAGAAGGAGGAGGAGGAGGAGGAGGATGAGGAGGAGGAGGAGGAGGAGGAGGGAGGAGGGAAAAACGTCGCATTCGATAATCAGAAGTTTCTTGTCGTGGCGTCTAGTTGTCCGCAGCAGATCCTGACGTACATGCTCCTTCTACCTGTCCTATGCACGCAGGCACTGTGGTGTACACCAGCGCTGCGTTGCACGTTGATGCTGTGGTGTAGACATGCGCCGTGGCGTGCACAGGCGCTGCGGCGCACGCAAGCACAGTGGTGTACACAGGCGTTGTGTTGCACATGGCTGCTGCGGTGTATGTACACCAGCGCTGTAGTGATCCCAAGCATTGTGGTATACACGGGCGGTGCGTTGCACACGGCTGTTGCGGTGTACGCAGGCGCTGTGGTGCACACGCGCAGTGTTGTGCACGCGAGCGTTGGGTGCACACAGGCGCAATGGGCATATCGCCACTTACATGCTGCTCGCGTCGTCGTCGTCGCTCGTCGCTCGTCGCTCGTCGCGTCGTGCGCGCGGGCGCGGTTGTGGCGCCGGAACCATACGGCAGGGGGGGGGCGTCACGTCATACCCCCCCCCCGCCCTCCCCCCCGCCCCTCCCCCCCCATGACGCCCGTCATCGCCGAACATAAAGAAACGCGCTCCAAGAGACCTCCGTGGAGATCTTTACACGCGGCCATGCATGTTTCTCCTATCCTGCAAGCCGAAGACTGCCAAAAGCCGTTCGTGGTGATCTTTTCACGCGGCCATGTATGTTTTTCCTCTCCTATCCTACAGGAAGAAAGAACTGCATAGCAAAGACTTTCGGAGTTCCGCGCGGATCTCTTGGATCTGCTCTGGGCCCCCCTTCCCTGGCGCAGGGGGCGCGCCAGGGGCGGCGTCAGAGGCGCCGCCGTGGGGCTCCAGCGCCGATCCGAGACATCCGCGCGGACCTGCGGAACGTTCATGTTATGTTCCCCGATTCGAACGATGTGAGCTCAACGTGAGATCCCTTCCCACCTGTAGGGTTGAAAAGTCCAGGGCTCGCCATGGATAGGTTTCCTTTAACAGCTGCCGAAACGATCCCGAAAACCTCCGAGAACCTTGGGAAGAGTTCCGGGAGGCTTTTAGGAGGGTTTCGCAGGGATCTTGGAAGGGGCTTTCGTTGTCTGGAGGGACGCCAGTCCCTAGCGAACCCTGGGCTCCCTGCCCTAAGGGCCCCATCCCTCAGGGTCCCATCTTGGAGCCGCCGAGTGGACGGCGCCGCGCCCACGCCGCCTGGCCTGGCAGGTGCGCTGGGGGCCGGGAGCGGTGTCGCGCCGCCGCTGCCGCTCGCGCTGAGCGGCGCGGCGGTGCTGCTTTTGGCCGTGGCCAACGGCCTGGGCCCGTACCTCGGCTACAAGCTGGAGGAGAGAGACCAGCACAGGCACCACCCTTCGACGGTCCGCGCGGATTTCGTGGATCTGCGTTGGCTCGGACTTGCGCCGACCCCCCTGGCGGCGCCTCCATCGCAGCCCCCGGCGCGCTCCGCGCGGCAGGGAGGAGGGCCCAGTGCCGATCCAAGAATTCCGCACCGGCCTTCGAGCGCGTGTGCTTGTGACGTTCTTTCTCCTTCTTGCAAGACGGTCGCGACCTGGGCGATGTTCTCCAACCTGCACGTGGAGGGCGGCAGGACCAACCACTGGTTTTGGTCGGCTTCGTGGCAGCCCTTCCGCTTCTGCCGCGAGCTCGCAACGGTAGAGGCGACGGACGTCGAGCAGCTACGGACCTATCATACCTTCTCGCAGTTCGACGCTGCACTGGAGGGGGAGCGCTCGCCGATACAAGCTTTTGCTGCGCGCACAGGCTGCGCGATGAAAAGCCATGCGAACTCGGTGCTCGGCCGCGGCGGTGCGGTCACCACCATCTTCCCATACCGCGTGCCGCTGTGGCAGCTGCGTCGGATGATCAGCGTCGAGGTGCTCGGAACCGAGCGCGGGACGGATTTCTTTGTCGAGTATTCGGTCCTCGGGCAACCAGGTCGCCGCCGCTTTGAGGTGAAGGACGGCAAGATCTCGCCCGCCTCCGATCCCGTCCTCGCCTCGCCGCCTCCGCTGCTGCTGCAGAAGCTGCTCTCCTTCAAGTCGGTGCCTGTCGCCGAGCGTGACTGCGGCGTGTGCCACGGGCCCTGAGCGGTGCATCTCGAGGCGCGAGTGTCGAGCGTCCAGTCGGTGCCGAACGCCGAGCGTGGCTGCGGCGTGCGTCACGGGCCCCGAGATCGGCATTACCCAAGCATGCACATACGAGGCGTGCGTCTTCACCACAGGGGGCGACGCACGCGCTGGGAAAGCATTTCGTGTGAGCTCCGTGCCGCGCGCTCCCTGGCCACACCGCTCGGGATGCGACACACTGCGAGCTGCTTGTGCTGCACTTTCGTGTCAGACGTGTGCCTCCGGTATCAGCACATCGTACGAGCATGTCCTGCTGCGCCCACCGAGCGGTCTCTAGGGGAACGAAAAATGACATAACCATAAAAATTCGGAGGTCCGCGCGGATTTCTGGGATCCGCGCTGGACCCCCCTCCCTGGCGCGTGGAGCGCGCCAGGGGCGGCGCCGGAGGCGCCGCCAGGGGGCCCGAGCGGGGATCCCAGAAATCCGCGCGGACCTCCGAGTTTTTCTGTTTCTGTCATTTCAGGAGGGAAAAAAACACACACACAGACACAATGAATCGTCGATTCCCCAGAGAATTACGAGAAAATATGGGAAGTGGGGGGGAAGACAACCCCCCCCCCAAAATATGGTAAAAGTATGGAGAATCTTTATGTTTTGTGTGTATTTATTTGTGTGTCCCAGGGCCCCTTGATCATTGTTCGTTCCCCTGGTCCCTCTCCGCGAGGGGCCGCGCGCCCGCGAGCGCCGCCCTCCTGCAGGCCGCGCGCGGCGCCGAGCCCGGCGCCCTGCCGAGCCGCGCCGCCGCGCGGCAGCGCCCGCCCGGAAGCGCGGGGGGGCGCGCCGCGCGGCAGCGCCGCAGCTCGGCAGGGCGGTTGCGCCTGCGGCGGGTCTGCGGGGAGGGTTACTCCGAGGAGGAGGAGGAGGAGGAGGAGGAGGAGGAGGAGGAGGAGGGGAAGAAGGAGCAGGGCGAGGACGAAGAGCAGCAGCATGGGAGCTGGAGTGGAAGGAACGGGAGGAGCACGAGGATCAGGGGAAGGCGGAGGGGAAGCGAGGGGGGCTGCAACGATTCAGAGCGTGAATTACCTACCCCGCTTTCGCTTCCAGGCAAAACTAAGTCATGCCACGTGCCTCCTCGTCAAGCGGCCTGACCAGTACAGGCCGTAGCTTGGCATCGTTTGGTGTCTCTTGGAAGCCAGGGTGGTTTATTTGTCCCCTAGTTACCTCGGACGAAATAGTCGAAAACATAGTCTGGGGACGATTTGTTTTGGTTTTGCTATGCTTGACCACTTTGGAATCTGTTTGGGGTATTTTTTGTTTTTCGTCCAAAATCCCCCTGTAGGGTGACAGGCCCGACTTAAGGGGAGGGGGGGGGGGCCCTTCGGGGTTGCGTGCGGTTGCCGTCTCTGTGGGGCTGCACGTCGCATCCGCCCGGTGGAAAGCTCCGGGCAGGGCGATGCCGCCAGCAGCTTCGGACGTTCAGCGAGCGGCGCGCCAGCCCAATCCATCAGCACCAGAAAAAGGAGCTGCCCCGGTCTGAATTCCTGATTGCTTGCGAAGTTCACGTCGGTATCGTTGGTGCTCCGACGAAACTGATATGTTTCTACATTGGGGGGGGTCTTCTTTCGGGGCCTGTTTGGGGGGGATCTTGGTGAGGCCCTTCGGGCTCTTCCAGATCACGCCGAGGCATAGTTCTAAGAGCCCGTCTATCTTATGGTCCGCTTCGTCGAGGTCTTTTGCGTCTTTCTCATGCCGCAGGGGGGCGATTACCACGTGCCTCACACAAGTGCGTCGACCGTGCCTGAGACACAGTGTAGCCTGACGAGACCAGAGAACGCTAGGAAGCGGGCCCCGCCTCGTGGGCCGCGTTCCTAACACACTTATGCAACGCAATGCTTCGCACATGCATGTTCAAGCTCAGGCGCGTCTACCGCTATGAGCAAGCAAATAAATAATCCGTGGCATTGCCGCCCGCTGGGTAGCAAGCTCTGGTGGCACGCATTTGTGATCGGCGGCGCCTCGGATTCAAGTTGCGGTCGTGGCTACGACAGGGCCTCTGCGGAGCGAAAAGACGCCAAGGCGGCGAGGAAGGCTGGGAGGGAAAGGGGGAGGGCCGCGGACGCGCGAACGGCCAGCGCGCCCTCGGAGCGTGAAGTTTTTCGGGGTGCGCTGGAAGCAGGGCGCACTTCATTGTAGCTGTCAGTACCTCTGCGGACGTACTGCGCATCCGGTTTGGGGAGATTTGTCGTGCAAAGGTCAGATGTCAGGGCACATTCAGGGGACGAGTCCATCGTCGACGAGGGGCGTCACGTGGATCCTGAGCGGCACTCTTTGCGGCGTCCAAGGATCTTGGTACACACTTCATCGCGGTGGTGGCTGTCTGCTGAGTGGAAAAAGCCACACCGCATGCCCGCATGGGCTGCTTACTCTTTGGTGAGGCCTTTCGCGGTTCGACCATGACCTTGCTGAGTTGCGTGTTTCCCCCCCCTTGCCAGCGAGAACGAAATCGACAAGCCATCTCCGATCCCCTTGCTCACCGAAACTGGCTGTCAAGGGACATTTTCCACGGGCCACGCCAGGACGGCACACCTCCTCAAACTAGTTGTTGATCGGCCCTGGTCCATGACCACGCACCTTCGGGGGAATGTGCAGAGCAACGCCAAGCAAGCCGAGCCTGCGGGATGGCCTGTGATGCAGTGCACGAAGTCGTCGGACCACTGTTTGGGCTGGGCTGGTGTGGTGCGTGTGTGTGTGTGTGTGTGTGCGTGTGCGTGTGTGTGATTCAGCCCGTGTGGGAGGGCAGGTGTCGTCGCTGGAGGACTGCGCAGACCTGTGCCAGCGGGACGCTGGATGCACGGGCATCGAATACGAGAGCAACGCTTCGACGTGCAAGGTAGCCGTGACGGGGCATCTGGGAGAGCGGGCAGACGTAAAGGAGTGCAGCAGAAGGGGGTGGCGGATGATGAGGATTGCAAGGAGGGCGCGGTCTCCACAAAGCGAATTTATTGTAGGAGGAGGGTGGGAGGAGGGGGACGGAGGATGATGGAGGATGGATGATGGGGATGGGGGATGGAGGATGGAGGAGGATGAGTAGGAGGAGGAGGGGGGAGGAGGAGGACAAACGAGGAATGAGGGGAGGGAGGAAAGGAGCAAGAGGATGAGGAGGTGGAGGAGGAGGAGGAGGAGGCCCCCTGGTCGATCGTGTGGCGGGCCAGGTCTGGGACAAGGCGATCGTTGAAAGCACGGAGGCGCCGGGCGTCCAGTGCCTGAGGCGCGGGCCGCTTGTCCGTCACCGCAGCCCCCTCCGCTCGCCTCTCCCTCCCCCTTTTGCCGCCCTCGCCCGCGCCTCCTCCTGCTCCTCCTCGTTTTTCCTCCTCTTCCTCCTCCTCCTCTTCCTCCTCCTCCTCCTCTTCCTCCTCCTCCTCCTCTTCCTCCTCTGCCTCCTCCTCCTCCTCCTCCTCCTTCTTGGAGTATAGATGCTGCAGAGTGTGATGATTGGCTTGGCCGTGCGGCGTCTCACAGCGAGTTCTCCGCCGAGATGGGCGACGCTGAGAAGATGCGCATTGTCGACCCGTACGCCTCCACCACAAAGTTTGACATGAACAGCAGTTTCTACATGAAGGCCATCGCGGTGCCCCCGTCGCAGGAGGCCAAGGCCGCGCAGGGCATCGCCTTCGACAAGATAAGCGAGATGGTCTCCCTGCCGACGCTCAGCGAGCATGTTGTGACTGACGACCAGCAGTGGCTCCTCAAAAGCGGCATGCTGGAACTGCTTGGAGCGGTAGACGTGCACAACGCCGACACGATCGAGGACATGATCGACCTGGCCAGGTGCGTCGGATACTCCGAGGATGCTCTCTCCGAGTCAGATTGGTCTCAAGCGGACCTGATGGGCGACTCCAGCGAATGCGAGCTTTCTGACCCCGACTGTTCCAGGAACACCGTCTATCGCACCTGCGACGGCGACGTGAGCCGCCAGGCCGCCGCGCGCCCGCGGTAGTCGTCCCGAACGTAACCTCATTGGTTACGTTCGCTCCTCCTCCTCCTCCTCCTCCTCCTCCTCCTCCTCCTCTCCTCCTCCTCCTCCTCCTCCTCCTCCTCATCCTGCTCCTCCTCTTCCTCCTCCTCCTCCTCCTCCTCTCAGGCTCAGGCTGCGGACTTTTGATTTGATCCCTGTGACAGGTGTTGCCCTCGACACCCCAGCGCCGCAGGACTGCCGCTTGCGGCCGCCAGATGACTAGGGCGGGACCCCAGAAGGAGACCGACCAGAAAGGGAACGGCACGAGGGGGAGCAGCAGGAGGACAAGAAGGGAGGTTGAGCAGAGGAGGGACCAGAAGGAGCAGCAGGGACGACGGAGCGGGGCGAGAGGAGGAAGGGAAGGGACCCGCAAGCCCAGAAAAGGCCAACGGAACACCCCCAGAAGAGAGCGGGAGGAGGGGTCGTCGAGGTTGCCACGATCTCTCGGGCTTGGGTCTCATGATGACCGTGAAAGCTTCTCGCCGACGGCGGCGACCATGGGCTTTGGCATGTACAGCTTGCCGGAGTAGGGCGCAGCTCCTCCTGCTGCTTGCCGCGCAGCTCTTGGGTAGCCTCGCACTCGATGTTCTCCTCCATCTTGCCCTTCTTCTCCTCGCTCTCCTTGTCCTTCCCAGCCGGGTGGCAGTAGCACTTCTCCTCGCTGATAAGCCTGACCCGCATAGTGGCGCCCCAGAGCGATGCGTTGTTAATGTTCGAACGTTGTCTTCCTGCCAGCAGCGCTGGAGGCGTAGGTGACAAGGATGTGCCCTGCGTTGATTTACCCTTTGCTGATCCGATCGATGAGGGAGAATGCGTCCATGATGGTGGCCGTGCCCGCGCAGTCCTCAAGGATGCCGTCGACACAGATGGTCCAGTCGGCGGCGGCCTGCGGCTCGGGGCTTCATGGCGGATCTAGCCGCGGCGACGTGGGAGGGGTTCAGGGCTACGTAGGTGGGGTGGCCGCCGAGGGGATCCCAATTGGGGATACCCATCTTGTCTTTCTTCTCGGTCACCGAGCGCGTTCCACTGCTCGCAGGGTGCCTGCTCGCAAACGCCCGAACCACGCATCTCTGCTTCGATGCGATTTCTCGTAGATCCCCCCCCCCCCCCGGCGGATCCAGGCCACTTGCGAGTAGTCATTTTGCGAGTAGTGGAACCGTGACTACTCCAGGGTGAAGCGCCCAAGAGGGGCGCGCCAGCGACGGGCCGCGGCCCGGCCCGCGCGGCAGGGGCGGCCACTTCCTGCTGCAGGCACGGTGGCTGGCGGCGGGTGGCCAGGCAGCTTCCATCGGCATCCTTCTCGCCATCGGTGTCGCCGCAAGTCAGTATCGTTTAACCAATCCCCGTCCCCATCCCCATCCCCTTCGAGACCCCCACCAAATTACCACCCCAGTTGGGGATACACCCCTCGAAACCCGAAGGGAGCGACCTGTATTCCCGTCTAGGGGGGTAAATCGGCCAGTGGGGCCCAGGCCACGCCGCTGGGGATGGGGATCGGCTAAACGATACTCAGCAAGCTTCCCCTCCGGTGACGCGGGACTCGCGCTAGCTGGCGACTGCTGCTGTCGGCGGCCTTCGCGAGGTCGTCCTGCGCAGGTAAGTCGACGGACGGGCGATGCGTAGGGTCGCAGCAGCCAGTGGCATATGTGGTCGCTGCCCCGTCGTCATAGCTACTGATGTCCTGCTGCTGGCACGTCGGTGTTGTTAGGAGGAGTTGGAGCTCGCTGATGATGGCCTGGAAGCCCTGCAGCATGTCTTCTCTCATCGCGGCGACGCTCGAGACAATGGCTTGGATGTCCGGCGCACAGAGAGCGGCAGGGACAAGGGCGGTGGCCTCCCTCTGGACTCTGGAGAGTCGACTTTGTCTGACCCTGGTTGTCTGGCACGGTGCCCTGGGAGAACCGCGTTGGCTCTGCAAACTCCCCTCTCTCTCGCACGTTTCCCGTGGCCCGTGTCGGCCTCGCGCTCGTGGCCCTGACGACGTCTTTCGTCGAGATGCTGCCGCCCGGACGCGAAGCCCAGCCGGCGCCGTGCAGCGCCAGTGGGCCTCGGCAGGGGCCTGGGCTGGGGCCTGCCAGGAGGTGCCTCGCTTTTGGGTATCACTGCATATCAGGAGGGAAAGAAACACACAGACGCAATTAATCGTCGATTCCCCAGAAAAGATGAGAAAATATGGGAAATGGGGGGGAAGACAGAAACCTAGAAAATATGGGGAAATATGGTGAATCCTTTTATTTGTGTGTATTTATTTGTGTGTTCTGGGGCCCCGTCAGCACATTCTGACTCAGTGTGGTTGGAAGTGGCAGCTTCGTGCCTATCTGTTGGGTGGCAGTGTCTGCCTACTTCGAGCGTGTCACTGAGGACGTGTCCAAAGTGAAGTACCCCAGCCTGTGTGTGAGAGGGTGCCTCGTCGAGCAGGTTCGGTGGGTCGGCGGGCGGTGGCGGGACCTCCATGGCCCCGAGCACGCCTGGGCGCCGCCCGTTCGCCCTGTGCGGCAGGGGCGGGCTCGGGCGCACGCGCCTTCCTCTCCATTCCTCCTCCTCCTAGTTTTCGGCTGAGAGGTGCTTTGCAGCGTTGGTAATGCAGGTGGTGAGGATGATTATGAGGATGAGGATGAGGATGGGGATGATGATGATGATGATGATGATGATGATGATGATGATGATGATGCTGATGCTGATGCTGATGCTGATGCTGATGCTGATGCTGCTGATGCCGATGTTGATGATGCTGATGCTGATGATGCTGATGCTAGTGACGATGACGATGACGATGATGAATATGATGATGATGACAATGACGATGACGATGGCGGTGGTCACGATGCTGGCGGTTGTGATGGTGATGATCGTGATGACGATCATGATGATGATGATGATGATGATGATGATGATGATGATGATGGTGGTGGTGGTGGTGATGGTGGGGACGATGTTGATGACGATGATGACGATGATGGTTATGAATTTGGTGATGATGACGAGGACGATTACGATGATGTCATGATGATGATGATGATGATGATGATGATAATGATGGCGTTGATGATAATGATGATGATGTTGATGATGATGATGATGATGATGATGATGATGATGGTGGTGGTGGTGGTGGTGGTGGCGGCGCGACGACATTAACGACGACAATGAAGATATCGATGACGATGGCGACGTTGTTGACGATGACTTTGACGATCACGACGGGGATGCGGCTGTTGCTGCAGCGGCTGCTTTCGCTGATTAGGATGATGACGACGATGATTATGATGATGATGATGATGACGATGATGATGATGATGATGATGATGATGATCATGATGATGATGATGGTGGTGGTGATGATGATGATGATGATGATGGTGATGAGGGTGATGATGAGGGTGATGGTGGTGATGGTGGTGGTGTGGTGATGGTGATGCTGGTGCTGTCGATGTTGCTGATGTTGTTCTTCTTTTGCTGTTGTTGGTGATGTTGCTGACGTGACCCTCCAAGGCAGCGTAGCACGCATGGCAGGTAGGCGCGCGCGAGACTGGACAGGAACGCGACACCGTGGCAGGAGGTGGCGCTTACCACCGCTGCCCCGTGCGTTTATTAAACGGCACCGTCCCACTCGATCCCTTCATCGGGCATGCTTGCTGAAGGGCCTCGGCCTTATGGGGTGATTCGCATGCGCGTGTTTCCTTGTCCTCTCGGTGGATTTGATCCTGTGAGTTTTGGGGCCCTGTCGCTTGGTGGGGAGCGATCTTTTCAGAGCCCCAAATGTATCTCAGAGACCGTGGAGGCTTCTCACAGGCTGTAGTTCCCCATAGGAGCAGCCTCGAGGTCTTGCGCAGCATTGGCAGTGCAATTCAGGCGATGTGGATCGTAGTGGGGGGGTGATGCTCACGCGACCCCATTTCATGTAGGGCACGCGATGGTAGGCTCGTTGCGCATGATTCACGTTGCGGTGCATTCATCCTTTGTCCCGTGGGGCCTGCAGTGAAGTGCCCCCAAGCTCGCTGACTTGATAGGGAAGTGTTCCCTCGGCTTGCCGCGCGTCTCAACACTTACACACAGCACATACGCGAACACTAAGGTTCACCAGGTTGACGGCCCGTTCTTGTGTCCAAGCGTGTCTTTCCCCAGACAGTTCTTGCACTAAGAAGTTGCGTGATGTCTCTCTCCAACGGAACTGACCCTTTGTGTCGCTGTCGGCCGCTCGCGGTTCTGTGCAACCAGGCACTAGACATTGGTGCCTTGTGTATCGCGTTGGATCGTTCGTGCGTCGGTTCTGTATGAAGGTCCCCTCGGTCGTCGTCGCCAATTCGTCGTCGTCGTCATCGTCGTGGTCGTCATGCAGCCGATGATCGCGTGTTCGGCGCCCCAGCGGTAGCGGTCGACCGCTTGCGCTTCGGTGCCGCACGGTTGGTGGGCTTCCTGCGGTGGGTGTCTTATGGGGCCTTGTGGTTGGTGTTCGGTGGTCGGTGCCTCATGGTTGGTGCTATGTGGCCGGCCATGTCTGGTTGGCGCCCCATGGCTGGTTCACCAACCAGCGCTTGCACTCGTGGCGCATCGTCGGCCGTGGGCGGGATGGCGCCCGATGGGGCCCCCCATGGCCGGCGCCCGCTGCCGCACGCCCCCCCATGATTGGTGCCCTATGGTACCCCCTGTGGTTAGAGCTCTATGCTTGGTGACCTTGTGCCCAGTGGTTGGTGCATTCTGGTCGGCGCCATGTGATCTGTACACTGTCAGTGTGGCCCATGGGTGGTGCCCTGTGGTTGGTATCTAAAGTGGGTGTTCCATGATTAGCGCCCTATGGTTAGCGTCCTGTGTCTGGTCCCCTAGAGGTGGTGCCATCTGGGTGGCGCCCGATGGTTGGTGCCATGTGGTTGGTGTTTGCACATCGGGATTGGCTGGGTTCCGCGCGCTGCCATTATTTCTAGTATCATCATGTTGTGTTTGCTCCTCTACGTCTCTTCCATCCGTGCCCACGTCTGGAGGGGTATTGTGTCTTTCATCGCAGAGGAGGCGGGGAGGGTGAGGGAGGGCACGGCAGTTGCGAGGGCAGTAGAGGCGACGAAGAGAGGGGCGCTCATAGGCGCAAGTTCCCCGGCTTCGAGTTCGCAGACGCCGTCCCGCCCTCCGCCCGTGCAGCGGACAGGTCCGGCCAATGTGGGCGTTCAGAGCAGGCTTCCTCGATGTTTGTTTGCCGCCATGCCCTCCCCCGCATACCTGCGTTGCACCGCAGGTGCACAAAATGAGAAACCGGCTTGCCAGCAGGTGACCCACTCAATGTGCAATCGGCTTCCCAGCATGTGGCCCTAGGGACTCACAGAAACTGGCGCACCTTAGCACCCAAGCATCGACGAAGAATGTGTCCCCTGGCTTCTTATCGCAAGTCGTCTTGTCGTATGCGTCTACAGTAGTAGGCGAGCCATCGCTGGCCATCAATGCAGGCGCGGTCACAGCATGCAGCGGGCACTCGCCAGTGCTGTCGTGTCTGGCGCCTTAGGAGCGTCCGCTGCCCTACCAGCACAAGTGGCAGCATGCTGCGGATGGTGCCCCCCCCCCCCCGTAGACTGAGATGCTTGCGGCCAGCAGCAGCATCGCCATCACTCGACCGACCAGCACTCACATGAGTACCTGGCAGTCGTCTTCTCGTCTTTTCGGGAGCAAGGTGGAGCCTGGCGTGGTGCTGATCAGTAAGGCAAGATACGACGGGCCATAGTATATCCAAATACACGCTCAAACTGAGGAGCTGTAGGCAAATGCGGTCAAGAGTCCTGCGCAACTCGATGACGAAAGGTCCATGTTGAGAGATGTGTACGTTGACTTTCTTACCGCAGGATGGGAGGTCCAGGAGTGATCCCTTTCGGCCGGCTAGATGGCGGTAGGTGTATGCATACAACCGGAGCATGAGCAGGATTACAATGGAGTGTACGTAAGCACGGTAGAGAAGCGCTAAGAAGAGAAGAGAATCGTCTTGAACATCTAGCGGTGTTCGGCCCATTTCGCCACCGTGCGTTGGTTGTTTGTCAGAGGCCTCGTGGATGCCTGGGATCTCCTGGGAGGGCGCTCGGAAGCCTCTTGGAGGCTGTTTTGGGCCTATCAGGGGCCTTTTGGGGGCCTCCGCGGCCTGATATGGGTTTCCTGGGGGCCTTTGGAACCTCTGTGGGCTTCTTAGGGGCCCGCTGGCTGTCTCAGAAGTCGTCCTGAGGCAGAGAGCTCTAAATGCCGATTCGTGTTCCCTCTCTGGTTCCTCTCGTGGACCTCTCCTCTTGGGCCGTCCGTCTGGGGGGGCCCTCTTGGGCAGTCTTGGGGCGATCTTGGGGGCCTTGTGGGCCGTCCTGGGTCGTCGAAAGCCCGATCGGATGAGAACGCGTAAAGTAATCAGACACCAGTGGGGACTCAATGATTTTCGCCTCTTGGGGCCTTCCTAAGGGCCTCTTGGAGCCCTCTTGGGGCGTCTTGGAGGCGTCTTGGAGGCGTCTTGGGCCATCTGGGAGCCATCTTGGGCGTCTTGGGGGCCTCTTGGGGCCCTCTTGGCCTGTTTTGGGGTCTCTTACCCACGCAACAGCACGTGGGAAACCCCGCGAGTCACGCGACGTGCTCCGCGAAATCTGACTATTTGGGGTCCGGGCCACGTAATCTCCACTCATTCAGGATACGGGGGGCCCCAAGAGACCTGACGACACTCCACTTCAGGCCGCAGGGCACGGTGGCGAACATATGAGAGCATGTCAGAGTTCGAAGGAACTGTCCGAAGGGGAGCGGACGCGAACGCATAGTTTGCTTTACCCGCCGCCGCCTTGGCCCAAGGCGGGGCAGCCCCATTTGCTGGTGTCGCCTCCGCGACGCATGATCCGCGGCGGCGCGGGAGGAGAAGAGGCCATTCTCTCCCCCGTGCTGCCATCACCGCCATCGTACCCCGTAGCCTCCCACATGACTTTCCATACTTCCAGTATGAGATGGCGAACCCCGCTTCGACTTGGTAGCGGAGCTGTCGCACCTGCGGCAGCTCTGCTCGCCTCCGCCATCCGCGTGCTGACGATCAATATGATCTACGCCGCCGCTACCGACACCAACATCTACGTGGAAGCGGAGGTGACCCCGAGCACCAAAGCATTGTAGACGCCTTCCTGGGCGTTTACGTGACCATCACCCAGTGCACCGATACTACTGCGCACGACGGCCAGAGATGCACGGGGGGTCAGGCCCTCAAAATGTAGGTTTCGGAAGCGTAGGCCCGCAGGCGTGCCTTCGGCGCGAGGCCCAACAACCAGGCATTGAAGCTGAGTTGTTTTGCTTCCTCGCTCGTTTCGGTCGTCATGGCGTGCCTCGGACGAGAGTGCGCATGCCTTGCATGTACTAGCTCGCCTACATCGGACGTGGCATCGAACCATTCGGGCGCCATCATCACCATCATCATCATCATCATCATCAGCACCATCACCATCATCATCATCATCATCATCACCGTCAGCATCGTCACCATCGTCACCACCACCGCTATCATCATCATCATCATTATGTATAGCTGCGCGCTCATGGGGCGAGCAGGCATGCATCCGAACGCGCCCGACGTCGGCGAGGATGCCCTCTCGGAGAGGGGTTTGCGCGTTCCCTCCACGATTGCGCCCGCGACGACAACGACGACGACGACGACGACGACGACGACGACGACGACGACGACGACGACGACGACGACGACGACGACGACGACGACGACGACGACGACGACCGCGACGACGACCACGACGACGACCACGACGACGACGACGACGACGACGACGACGACGACGATTACGACAACGACGACGACGATGACGACGATGACGTCGGCGACGGCGACGGCGACGGCGTAGGCGACGATCAGAAGCCTTCCGAGGTCCCCTTCGGTTTCCTTTTTCGTTTTTTGTTCATAACAATTCCGGACGAAGGACCCAACCATATGCAGTTGTGAATATACCGCCATTGTGAATATCTTCTTCGGCGGAGCTTCCTAGGGGGTTGCGAAGCGCTGCGCTGGGTTGGGGGGGGGGGGCGCTTGCGGTCGGTAGCGGTGGGGCCGTCGGTGGGGTTCCGTATGGGGCCACGAAGCGCCGCACAAGGCGGGGGGGGGGGGGGCGCATGCGGGCTGTAGCACTGGGGCTGTCGGTCGAGCGCCCTACGGGGCCACGAAACGCTGTGCTGTGAGGGAAGGGGGGGGACGCATGCGGGCGGTAGCGCGGGACCTTCGGTGGAACTCCCTACGAGGCCACGAAACGATGCAGTGGTCGGGGGGGGGGGCGCATGCGGGCGGTGCCGCCGGGGCCGTCGGTGGAACTCCCTATGGGGCCACGAAGCGCTGTGCTGGGTGGGGGAGACGCATGCGGGCTGTCGCACTGGGGCCGTCGGTGGAGTTCCCTATGGGGCCACGAGGCGCTGTATTGGATGGGGGGGCGCATGCGGGCGGTATCGTCGGAACGCCACGAAACGCTGCACTGGGTAATGGGGGGCGCCTCCTGGCGGTAGCAGTGGGGCCGTCGGTGGAGCTCCCTACGGGGCCACGAAACGCAGTATTGGGTGGGGGGAGAACGCACGCGGACACCCCCATTGGGGCCTTTTGTGGAGCTCCCCATGGGGCTACGAAGCGCTGTGCTGAGTGGGGGAGACGCACGCGGGACCTCCAGTGAGCTGCCTACGGGGCCACGAAACGCTGTATTGGAAGGGGGGGGGGGGGGCGAGCGCATGCAGACACCCCGATTGGGGCCTTCGGTGGAGCTCCCTATGGGGCCACGAAGCGTTGCACTGGGTGTGGGGTACACACGCGGGCCCTCCCCAGTGGGGCCTTCGGTGGAGCTCCCTATGGGACCACGAAGCGCTGTACTGGGCGGGGTGGACGTATGCGGGCACCCCAATTGTGGGGTCTTCGGTGGAGCTCCCCTATGGGGACACGAAGCGCTCTACTGGGTGGGGGGACGCATGCGGGCACCCCCATGGTGGGGCCTTCGGTGGAACTCTGTATGGGGCCACGAAACGTTGTATTGGGTGGGCACCCCCAGTGGGGCTTTCGGTGGAGCTCCTTATGGGGTCACGAAGCGCTGTATTGGGTGTGGGGGGCGCATGCGGGCACCCCCACTGGCGCCGTCGGTGGAGCTCCCTATGGGGCCACGAAACGTGTGAGGGTTTTGCCAAAGTGAGGGGGGTGACGGGAGGGGGGGGAGGGAGGAGGAGGAGGAGGGGAGATGAATGCGGGGGGCCGTCTCTTCGAAACGAGGACCCAGCACCACAGGATGGTTGGGAACAAAGATTTCGGACGCCCATGGAGGGTCCATGAAAGTTCCCCGAAGACCCTCCGGAGGCCCCCGACGGCGGCGACGGCGACGGCGACAGCGACGGCGCTGTTCAGAGGCCCTGGAGCCCTCCCCCCTGATGTGTCTACGGTGTTTTTTTGGTCGTCTTCGGAGGTCCCATGAGGTGTCCCCGATGGCCCGAGAACTCGCCGGCTGATTCTCTTCGTCTCGCACAGATTCGCATGGATCCTGCTGGGTTTCCGACAAGAGTTCTGGGCGGATTTTCGCGGACCCTCGCGGATTCTCGCAGAATCAGCTGCGTTTCTAACATGGATTTGTGCCGGATTCTTGCGGATTTTCCGGATTCGTCGCGGATTTTCGCGAGTTCGGCTCTGTTGCACGCCGCTCTCGGGCCCCATGTGCGCATAAGGGCCACGAGGACAGCGGGCGGCGATGACCGTGACCGCCCGCGTTGCAGGCTATTGCGTCCGCCTGCGGGCGCCGGGCAGTGCCTTCGGTCGTTCCACCATGCGCGTACGATCGCTAGTAGCCGCCTGGCGATGCCACTCGGCGCCTCCGCGCCTGCGAGCGCCTGCCCGGCAGCGCTTCTAAGCGCACTTGCGCGCCTGAGAGCACCCGCGCGCTCTAGCGCTTGTGGGCGCCTGTGAACAACCGCCTGGATGCGGGAGTCGGCCGTCGTTGCGGGGTGCCCTATGGCTGAAGTGGTTTCCCGTTGAGTCCTGTGTCCTCCCGTGGCCTCCCGCCCCGCTGGCCCGGGGCGCCTGGTTCAACCGTTGCTGCACGCCCCCCCGTGGCAGAGCTCAGCATGCCGTGGCCTTTTGTGGATTTGCCTTCACTGGTGCCTCGCCCGCCGCGACTCTGCCCC